TTCCTCTGTTTCTCTCTCCCCCAGGTCCCCTGAAAGAAAGACCAGGACTCGGCGTGAGGGGTGGGGCGGGGGTGGCAGGCCCCTTCGGGAGTCCGTCTGCGGGGCTGAGAGCAAGCACAGCCACGGCCCCTGCCCCGTCCCGCTCCGAGCAGGGCCCAGCTCCTTGCGAAGAGCCAGACCGACACCCACACTTCACGCTCTGCGGCCAGAAGATCACTTCCCAGAGAACCAGCGCGCGACTGTGTAAGGACCACAGGCCCAGCCCCAAGAACCGGACCCTTGCACGGACTGTGGGAAGTCTGGAGGCAAGTCCACCCCTAAGCCCGGTGGCCCACGCCTCCCCAGCGCACTGGCCGGCGGAGGCGGGAAGCAGAGGAGACGCTCCAGCCTCGGCTGCTTGGAGGCCGAGTAGTGGGGAACTGGCCAGCACGAGCCGTTGGGGGGCCTGAGGGGACGGCCAAAAATCATTTCCAGAAACCTTCAGAACAGTGTGGTTCAGAAAAGCACAATTCTCCCCCAGGAAGTTTCTTGTCAAACTAGACGATAAAACCCACTTCCTACCACCTCCAGCCTTCCTGGGGCGTGACTTCTGAGGCACTAACAGAAAGAAAGAAATGCAATTTGCCGTCACAAGTGCCAGCTAACTCGTCACTTTGGCATGCCCTCAGTGACTGAGCAGCAAACAGCCAACAGCAGCAGAAGCGACCCACCATCTCCAAGACAGAATCCCACACGCACCAGACATCTCCCGGCTTCTGTGGGACGTGCTGGGGGCTCCCAAGAGCCCCTCCCAAGAGGACCAGAGAGAGGGGGTCAACTTAGAACTGGGGAAAGGGCGGGCTGAAGTTCTAGGGCAAGTCAGATGTCACGGGGCGGGGCCAGGGGACCTAGGGCAGGACTTCGTGACCTAGGGCAGGGCCGGGTGACCAAGACTGTCCACATCTACTAGAGGAAGAAATAGAGTCTCAAAGAGGGTAGTGACCCCTTCCCCCTCCACACCCATCTCTGGAAGACCGTTTGGAGGTTTCTTATGAAATTAAAGCTGCTCTTATTATCTGAACCACAAATGTACCCTTTGTGTTCACCCACAGGAGCTAAAAACACGTCCGCCCAGAAACAGTCACAGAGATGTTTGCTGCAGCTTTGCTCACAACTGCCAGATCTCGGGAGCAAGACGCCATCCAGTAGGCGAATGCGTACACGGAGGGTCGCTCCAGACATGGAAGAGTGTTCGGTCCTAAAAAGAAATGAGCTGTGAAGCCACGGAAAGGTACGTGGAGGGGCCTTGACTGCATCAGGGAGAGTGGCCGCCGTATGCTGTCTGACCCCCTTTACAACATTCCAGGGAGAGCAGGACCATGGACGGTGAGAAGACCGGGCTGGAGGCCTGCGGGAGGGGTGAAGAGGGGGGGCACCGGGGCCTGTCAGGGCAGTGGAGCTCCTCCATGTGACACTGTCGTGAGGGACCCGTATCCATGTGCGTCTGTGCAGACACACGGGGTTAGAAACAAAAGCGGACGTTGACGTAAGGGACAGACCCCACTCAAGGGTAACACGGCAGCACCAACTCACTGACGGAACGACCGTGTCAGCGCGAGGGTCAGCGACGGGGACATCTCTGCAGAGACAGGGAGTGACGGAGTAGACTCTGACTCGGTACAGCTGCTCAGCCTTTCTGTGAATCTGAAACTGCTCTAAAAAACAAAACCTATTAATTAAAAACTTTGTTTGCCTTACGTAGGACCCCTCCAAGTGCCGTCTGTGTGTCCCACACCCAGCGGGCACACCAGAGCCACCATCTAGCCCGCGTGTGACTGAGCTGCGCTGCCCACCAGGTCCCAAGCTCTGCGGGGTCCTTCACACGTTGCCTGGAAGGGAGGGGACACCGAACCCCTACATTTCACAACGTTCCTTGCTGAAGAGATTAACCCAGTCTGAAAAGCACGTACGGCCATGCAGGAGGTTGCCTTCCGTGGCCCCGCTGACCCCCTAGGACCCCCCCCTTTGCCACCTCTCACTGCATCTCGAGTTGCTTCTGGACTCAAGTCCCAGCAGGCCCCGGGGTGGGAGACACAGAAAGAGAAAGTGCAACGCCCTCGAGGAATAGCAGGACCCGGCCAGTTTACATCGACAGAAACTTGGGGAACATGCGCGGGAACCCTTCTTAAGGAGACAAGGTCAAGCCGGAATGAAAGGAAATGACCAAGGCTGGACACAGATGCGGCCACTGAGCACTGATGCTCCCAGCCACGCTTTACATCTAAGGGCTGGGAAGAGCATGAATGGTGCCACCAGCGGTTGACATAACCCGGTTCCCGAAGAGGGTGTCTCCACGAAATGAGGTGGAAACGCCAGAACTTCTCGCTCTGTCACAGAGACAAGTGTCCGAAGGTTTAGGGGATGGGGACATGGGAATGGGTCATCACGGGAGACCCGCTAATGACCTCAGGAGGGTCCAGACGACACGTCTTTCCCCACGACTGTGAGACGTGAGCTCATCAGAGTGCCCCAGGATCCCGAAGGAGCTCAGCGGGGAAGCCCCCGGCAAGTCAGAAACCACAGAGGGAGCGTGGCCACCAGCCTGGGCTCGCCCAGTGCAGCGGGGAGGCTGGCATCTGGGGCGGCAGTGGCCAAGACGCGGCACTTCAGAGCCAAAAAAGGTGGGTATGGTTACCAGGAAGTGGAAATCAGAAGCTTCTGGCTACGGAGAACTCGGTTAGTGATTAGATGCCCAGAACGCCCCTCCCACAGGGCTGCAAAGAAAGCCTCCTGGAGTCTCAGGGACCCGCATAAGCAGGAAAGTTCGAGATCTACCGAATTGAGGACTGGCTTGAATCACCAAAACAGAGTCATAGCTCGGCAAACCATCCCCAGACTTGGCCGTTTCCGTCTCACGCAGCAGAGCCCCAGGAACAAAGGCGGAGGGTGGCGGCAGGTCCCCTGCAGGCCACAGAAGCCCATTTACGCAGTTACTCTCTCTCCTGGCCGTCCGCACGCAGACCTGCGGCCTCTGCTAGGCCAACTGTGCGCCAGGGAACAAGGAATGAGGACTCCTCCAGTGCTTACCAAACACGGACCACGACTGACCCCAATACCAGGGCACCCGGAGCCTCACTGTGCCCCGCCCGTCAGAGCGGGACCCGCCGTGCTTGCCCTGTTGGACCCAAAGAGCAGGACGTCACGACCAGCCACGTGTATGGGTAGGACGTCTGCACACCAAGGGCTGTCGGTGGCGACCACGGATGCCGGCTGCAGCCTCCCAAAGGCCCTGATGGGCGAGCAGACCCTCAGGATCTTGGAGCAAACACGTGACATCCTCTGCAGATAACGACTCTCCTTTCAAGAAACTGCTCTGGGCCGTGAATCCTTAGTGAAAAACGCACCCCTGACCCTGGTCCTGCGAGCTACACGTGGCGTGGCTGCTGTGAGCCTGATGCTGGAGGGCCACGGGCACGCGGCAGAGCACACGTCGTTGTCCCTCTGCCCACTCACTGCCTCTGAGGCAGCTGCCCTGCTCCCCGGGGCCCTGCCCAGCCTCCCCAGCCTCTGGGGACTGTGCGTTCAGCTCCCTGGTGAGGGGCCACCTTCTGCAGGACACCTCAATCACCAAGGTCAAGGCCACGAGAACAGTCATGGGCTCCTGTCCGTCCCTGTCCTTGACCTCTTACCGCACAGCCACAGTCCCTCCTCACGGACCCCGTCAGACCCAGGCCCCAGACCCCAGCAGCAGCCTGGCCAAGATGCTCTGTCATCTCCCACAGCTGTGCGCAGCCGAGTCCCTGCAAAGGACCGTGTACATGGTCCCGCTGCTTCCCTGACTGAACTCTGGCACGGCTGGTGTCCCAGGGGAAAAGGGTGCCACCACAAGTGACTGCGAGTGAATGAGTAAACTTAATTCTGTCTTTAAAAAGATTTTATTTGAGAAAGAGAAAGGGGGCGGGGAACACAAGCAGGGGGAGGGGCAGAGGGGAAGCAGGCTTCCCGCCGAGCAGGGAGCCCGATGCGGGGCTTGACCCCAGGACCCCGGGACCACGACCTGACCTGAAGGCAGATGCTTTGCCAACTGAGTCCCCCAGATGCCCCTGAATTAGCATAACTCCTTCCTGCAGAACTTCCCGGTGTCCTACGCAGCAGTGAACACTATGAACGTTCCGAAGGAGGAACAGAGCAAGAACGGTTTCCCAAACTGATGGGGCCACAGACCCTCCTTACGAAGCCACGGATAAGCCCTGTAGGATCTGATGGAGAAAGAATGTAGGGGCTCTCCTGGTCCCTCCCCTCCAGGCTGGGCCCCCAGTGGGGCCACTCAGGTGCTGACCCCGAGACCTGCAGGTTCACTCCAGGAACATCACCCTGACCCTCCCCCGACACCAGGGCACCGTGTGTGCGGGTCGGCCTCAGTCCAGGCTCGGAGCACAGGAAGTAACCCCCACCCCGGCAGGACGAACGAGATGAACACGCAGGCAGCTTCCCCTCCATTTAAAAAGTACACACACGCGTGAATCACATGTATAATGTTTAAATTATGGTAATTTTTAGAGTTATCATCTCAGCGACCGTGTGAGGTAAACAGGTTACAGCCGACTCCTGTGGCCAAACCATGGGACAGGAACTTGCACAATGACAGTATCTGGAGGCCAGCTGACGGCCTGGAGGCTGACTGGCCACTGGGCTGCATGTGCTCGGGCCCACAGCCGCCTGGGCCCGCCGGCCACGCCGCACCCCTGCCGGACTCCCTGAAGCCCGGATGTGGCTGTGCTCCCGCACACGCAGCAGCAATCCACAGCCACATCCAATGCACAGAGAACCCGCCAGAACCTTCCAGAAGCCAGCCCGCCTGCGCCCAGCCCGCTCCTCTCCCTGGCAACCCTGGCAAATGCCGTCCTGTGCTGTATCCTCACTACTTGCGAGGCCCCCGGATGTCCCCGGAGCTCTCCGTGCCTCGCGGCCACCACAAGTGTGCCCAGGCCCGGGACACGGTGGGGCCCGTGCCCGCCTACCTGTCCGCGACAGCTTCTGCAAGGTGGCTGTCAGGTGCTGCAGAGCTCCCGGCGATACCTCGTAGCGGTGTGTGTCCATCGCTGGAACCTTCTGGCACCTTCCAAACACCCCGTCTGCAGGAAGAGGGGAGCAGAAAAGAGAACGTGACGTTCATTTTCAGGGAGAAGGTATTAAACACACCCTTGCGATATATTCTAACTACGCCGCACGCTGAGGCTTTGGAACACGGCTGTAGAACGTCATCCAAACGCTATCAGAGCTCAGAGAAGTTGGAAAGTAATGGTTTATTCAAACTAGAGAGCATCACGGAAAACACAACTGCAAAGGTATGGGGAAGAGGACATGAAGGCAGAGTCGTTCGCGCTTTCTACTCTACTCCGCACCCCTTCCTCCCTCACTCCCCACCTCTCACTTCTCATAATTCCTGCCCCGGCTTTCACCTTTCTTGTGCAAAGCTTTGCTCCTGACAGTCCCGTGACAAAAAAATCAATATCGTTCAGGGCCAGTTTTCCAGACGAGAAACAGAACACCCAGGACATATAAATACTAATTTGCAGAAGCCACGAGGACGGTGGCCGCGTCTGCCACAGGGGTGCCGTGTGGGGGGACCGGCAAATGGGGGGGAAGCCCCGGGGACGGCGACACGGCCAGTTTTGAGGGGAGCTTTCTGCAGTGTGGCCAAGGAGAGGGGCTCCCGGAGCGGGGGACGGTGGCGGCGCCTGTCATCTGGCTCTGTTCCATTCGTCTAAAATGACGGGCTCTGCTCATCTTTTCAACCACACCTTCTAATTAATTTAGGCCCCAATTAGTCTTTATTTGGCAAACTGTTCACTTTGAAATAAGCTTCCTGTAGGGGGTTCAAACACCCAAATTACTGCCTTTCGTGCGCACAAAAGACTAATTCAAGGGCCAGTGCGTCGCCCCCTGGGCGGCCATCTGCAGTTTCAGGCCCGGATGGAGGGGAAACGCTTCTTCATTGTTCACGACGGTCTCACCGCACAAAGTGTCGCTGAAGAAAGCCATTCAAATGCAACAAGTTTAATTAGCAGAAACACATTTGCCCGATGCCAGGCTAACTCAGTAATTACCGGTCTGATACTACATATGGGCTTAAGACGGACGGTGCTGTGTGATTAGCAGAAAATCATCTTAAGTGTCGAAAGCACACCGTGAATTTGTATGGGCCTCTGCAAAGCTCCCAGAACCCGGGCAGGCGACCTGCACAGCTGCTCAGTGCTGCAGACAATGGCCGCGGGGAGAAGTCAAGCCCTCTGCAGGCCATCTCCACCACAGTGGTCCAGAGGGATTCCCAGTGGCAGTGCTCCTAGAGGGAGGGTCCCGTCCCCCTGCTGCCACCCAGGGAAACAGGCACTGTGCTCCAGAAACACGGACAGTAAGCAGCCCTGTTTACTTTATTTTGTGCAAAGAACTCCGTGCCCGTGGACAGGGTGTTTGTGGCGGGGGCGTGGGGGAAGGGGCCAAGAGAAAAACAGAGAACTCTTTAGAGTGTTCCTAAAACTTTCATTCTCCATACAAATGGAGTATCTCGAAAGCAAACTCTCACCACGTAGTGACTAGAAGGAGCATTAAGTCGGTCTGACCCCACATTTTACGGACGAGCTTCGAGACCAAGGCCACAGGAGGAGGAGAAGCCAGGTTCCCGACTCCTGCTGGAGCCCTCACCAGAGAAGAACAGCCGATGTAGTTTGGAACATCCCGAGTGAGCTCATTCCCTTCTGAAACGTAGCGGCGTCAGTCTTCAAATTTGGTTTATGCTGCACAATGTCGTGAATACACTTTTGGAAAACTATTTATGGCATTTCCTTGAAATCCTTCTCTTAAACATGCACTTAAAACACATGTATACAACATAATACGTGGTATTTTCTTGTGCTTTTAAAATTAGTTTTAGCTGATAACTTGGTTTTAATGATTTGAAAGTCAAGACTAAACGACCCACTGATTCTCTCCGCCCCCACACTACAGCCTGGCCGATGAGGTGCCACATGCTTTCGCCAGCTCTTTTAACCTTTATTTTTAAATAAACTTTTTAATTAATTGATTTATTAATTTGAGAGAGAGAGTGCGTGTGTGAGCGCAGGGAGGGGCAGAGGGACAGGGAGCCTGACGTGGAGCTCGAACTCATGACCCTGAGATCACGACCTGAGCTGGTATCAGGAGTCGGACGCTCTGCCAACTGAGCCCCCAGGTGCCCAAATACACTTTATTTTTTAAAGCAGTTTTAGATTCACAGCGAAACTGAAGGGAGGGTGCGGAGCTTACCCTCCCACATGCGGACCCGCCCCACGGCCCGCAGACCCGCAGGGGGCACCTTCGCACAAGTGTCGAGCCCACACCAGTACATCGTGTCGCCCGAAGTCCGCAGCCGCTCGGGGTCGGGCCCGCATCCGCCGGCAGGGTGACGTGCAGAGTGGCTTCCCTGCCCTGAAAACCCTCTGTGCTCCCCCGTCCATCCCAGTACCCCACCGGGCAACCACCGGCCCCTCTCCTCTCTCCGCAGCTGTGTCTTCTCCAGAAAGTCCCGGAGCTCTCTGGGTCCACGTTGACACAGATTCTTTACGAGACAGGACTGTGCAGACACGCGTCTGTGTGCACGTGCACATGTGTGCGTCGTTTTCATGAATGCGTGTTTGTGTCCACGAGTCTGGTGTGTGCACACGTGTCTCTCCGTAAGTGCCACGTGGTTGTGCAGTGCTTCCGTGTGTTTGTGCTGTGCACAGGTGACGTGCGTGTCTGCATGTGTGTGGACACGCACAGACGGCCTCGACCACTGTTTAACCGCCAAACTCATGTGAGAGCCCAAGGGAACCGCTCTTCCAACGTGGAGCGTCCGTCCAGGAAACAGGCGGCACCAGCACCTGCCAGAAGCCCGACTTCCGGACTCCTGCTCCACGGCGGCTGCACGAGCTTGCTCCGTGTCTCTGGAGGGCGGGGGCGCGCTCACAGCGGCTGCACGAGCTTGCTCCGTGTCTCTGCAGGGCGGGGGCGCGCTCACAGCGCACTGCTTGCTACTTCCAGTCCCACACCCGCTGTGCGTCTGACTCCATCCCTGCCCCCGGGCTCTGCCTTGCACCCCAACCTCAGGAAAGGCATGGCCCTGCCCTTAGGTCCCGCCGGCTGGACAGATGTTAGAGCCACAGGACACACATCCGGGCCACAGGTGGACACGCTCACTGACCACGCAGCGCTGCGATGTGGGGCGCAGAGGGACATCCCAAGGGTGGTGTGAAGGAGGAGCACCAGCATCGCCCCACAAATGCACCAAGGAAGTGGCATCTGCTTGGGCTCTGACATGAACGAACGGGGCTGCCTACATGGGGCTGGAAGGACACCCAGGCAGGGGAGCGGGCTCTGCGGAGGGCAGGAAGCACCCCATCCCCAGAGCTCGGGGGCCTAGGGACTGAGCGCCAGGATATGGAGCAAGTCAGGCAAAGCCTGAGGGCATGGCGGGGGTCAGTCTTCTTCCCAGGGGCCGCCAGGCCCTACCAGCTGTTTTGCATTCTGCCAGGAGCCATGGGCTGAAAGGCGCTCCCTGTCCAGGGGAGGATGGTTGCGCGAGGACGGCCACCATGGAAGTGAGAGCAGAACGGATCTGCAGCCTTTCCAGAGGAGAACCCCTAGGAGACACCCCTGCTGCCCAGCGGCAGGAGAGCCCCTCCAAGAGTCCCATGACACACAGAGGTTCTGGGGTTCGAGGGCATATTCAGAGAGATGGTCCAGAGAACGTGTGGCTTTCCAAAGCAGTGACGTAGCTGCCTTGCCGCCGGCTGGGAGAGCTGGGGAAAGGACGACCCAAGGGCCCCAGGGGAGTGAGACCGTGCCCTTCCTTGGGGAGGTCACCTCCCAGGCGTCCGTGGGCAGCGACCCCAGCATCACAGCATGGACCGAACGTTCCCAAGTGTGCTGACCTCGGTGGAATTTTAAGGCTGTCCCCAGGTCCCGAATTCTGGAACAGTAATGCCCCCTCTTTATCTTGCAGAGCAGAAGACCGGGGCCCCATGGCTCCTGGAAACCAGAGAGCACACGGCTTTAAACACAGAAAAAGGAGGGATGTTTGTGGTCCTGAGAAAGCCGATCTCCACCTAAGTCCCACTGGGCAGTCACCGACAGCTGGTTTCTTCCATTAGAAAGAGAAGCCTGGATAATTTTTTTGCTGGATTTCTGGAAGAATGTGAGAAAGAGCCTGTTTATTGTCTGTGTGTTTACTGTAACCAGTGATCCCTGAAGCATTACTCCCGCAGGCAGAAGTCATTTTGACTCATAAACGTCACTGTCCCCTCATGACTGCTGGAGGCCAGCGGCAATGCCTTCCTCCTGGACCCCTTCTCCCTTGCTCTGTAGGGCCGTGCGTGACCCCAGGCTGCACGGTATACACATGAGCACACACACACACGTACACACCTCTCCACGTCCCTCTGGCACAGACATCATCTTCTCACCTCAGGGCCCCACGGGCTCCTGGACGGCAGGTGTCAGCTCCGCCTCTTAGACCCCCACATCAACACCCACTCGGCACCCACCGTGGCTCAGTAAATACTTGTGACTGACTGACCGGCGTTTTTCCATTTGCCTGAAGAAAAGCTGTGATGCCTACAGAAATGTCTAACACCGTTAGCTGGCATCCTAATTTGCTGGAATCTCACACGGTTTGGAAGCCTACGACTCCCAGCAAACGACCTTGCTGAAGGCCCAGGGATCACTGAGATCAAACCCAGGGAGCTCGTGGCAGGGCCGGCGAAGGAGGGGCCGCACACCCCTGCGCTCTCTGAGCACACACCGTGCCGCCTCTTCCTTCCTCAGGGCTCGGGGCGCTGGCCCGACCCCACAGAGCCGCTCTCGGCCTCACACGTGCAGGAAGAGGTCCGAGCGGACTCCTGCTCTGGGAAAAGGACTCCGTGCTCGGAGACACCAGCCTTCCCTCGCGGGACGCTGTTGTTTTGGGGACTGCTGAGTGCCAGGCCTCCCGGAGGACGGCCCGAACCAGCAGGTCGGACCACCAGGCAGCCACGGGCCTCAGCAGGTTGGTTTAGGTCTCTCCAGGAGAAACCATTTCTGTTCAGTCTACCTCACGCGACTCACCTCAGACTTGCAT